AACCTAATAGCAGCCTCCAACCTAATAGCAATGGCCTCCAACCTAATTGCGATGGCCTCCAACCTAATAGCAGCCTCCAACCTAATAGCAATGGCCTCCAACCTAATTGCGATGGCCTCCAACCTAATAGCGGCCTCCAACCTAATAGCAATGGCCTCCAACCTAGTAGCGATGGCCTCCAACCTAATAGCGGCCTCCAACCTAATAGCAATGGCCTCCAACCTAAAAGTAATGGCCTCCAACCTAATAGCAACGGTCTCCAAGCTAGTAGCGATGGCCTCCAACCTAATAGCGGCCTCCAACCTAATAGCGATGGCCTCCAAACTAACAGCGATGGCATCCAACCAAACAGCAATTGGCAATGGCCTCCAACCTAATAGCAGCCTCCAACCTAAAAGTAACGGCCTCCAACCTAATAGCGATGGCCTCCAGCCTAATAGCGATGGATAGCGATGGACTCCAACTCCAACCTAGTAGCGATGGCCTCCAATCCAATAGCAATGGCCTGCAAGCCTCCAACCTACTAGCAATGGCCTCCAACCGAATAATAGCCAACCTAATAGCGATGGCCTCCAACCTAATAGTGACGGCCTCCAACCTGATAGCAATGGCCTCCAACCAATTAGCGATGGCCTCCAACCTAATAGCGATCGCCTCCAACCCAATAGGAATGGCCTGCAACTTCATAGCGATGGCCTCCAACCTACTAGCGATGGCCTCCAACCTAGAAGCGATGGCCTGAAACTACTAGATGGCCTCCAACCTAATAGTGCTGGCCTCCAGCCCAAAAGCAGTGGCCTCCAACCTAAAAGCGAAGGCCTCCAACCAAATAGCGATGGCCTCCAACCCAATAGCGATGGCCTCCAACCTGATAGCAATGGCCTCCAAGCTAGTATCGATGGCCTCCAACCTAATAGTGATGGCCTCCAACCTAGAAGCGTTGGCCTCCCACCTTATAGTGATGGCCTCCAACCTAAAATAGCGATGGCCTGCAACCTTATAGTATATGCTCTGTCACGGATGGATTTCTTGCCTTGCAAAGGGAGGTTCGATCGTCGTCATTTCTCCACCTGGACAAGTTTCTCATATTTTATCTTGTTCACGATACTTTGATGTGTCTTTCTCTCTTTGGCGTGCCATCTCATATCATCTCCTCAAAGCCCAGAAGAGCGGAGAAATGGATTGGCTACCAACTTGGACAGCCAGTTGCCAAACAGCGCGCTCCACCTGAGCGACATGAAATCGAGCAAGGGAAATTTGAAATGCTTGGTTCGGTGGAGAAGGGATGAAATATGCTGACATGGTTTCGTTGATGTCTTATTCTTAGGTTGGAGGCCATTGCTAGGGAGGAGGCTACTAGGGTGGAGGCCATTGCCATCAGGTTCCTTCTCTATTAGTCTTCCTTTCCGAGCGGCTCGGGGAGCGTCCAAGAGCGCTCGCCTCAAACGCTTCGAGTCGTCGAAGTGGATCGCTTGCCTCGGCACGAAAGGAAGGAACAAGGATGGATGAAGCATAGGAGACTTCGATGATCTTTTGGTTGGTTTTTTCACCATGTGAACAGTTTTATATAAGAGGCGGATGTTTATTTAATGGATACGACCCCACAATACTACGCATGCTTAGAGATATCTTGGGAGACCTTAAGGATTAAACCCACGAACAGTTCCAGAAGGACCAATCAGCTTTCTCGGGTGTGGGTCGAACATTTGGAAGTCGGTGCAGCAGGAGCGTGAAAGACCAAGGAAGTGGGAGTGACTATTCAACAAACAAATTTGCCAGCATTTCAGCTGGTAGGGCCCCCGGGAAGCATCTGTATTTCATTTGGCCGGATGGCAACACGAAATCCGGGTGGCCACGACATCTGTTACATGTCTTTGGGTCGAAGTCTCACGGAGAGACTTGGACGAAAAAAGAAGACCAAACTCAAACTTTAGGCTGGGGGCAGAGCTTGGAATCATACGTGATGATGTTAGCGGCTCATAGGCTCTTAGACCGCTTCAATGCCTTCAATGCCGATGGAAACGATCAAGTTAGTTCTGGGATGTCCTGGGTCCGTCCTGCAGTCTCCAAATCTTGGAGTCAGTTGGAGTGGTCTTCGAGTCTCCCATGTCACCCTCATCCACTTGCTGATCCATGTTGATCCCACACTTCGAGCTGTCATAGAAAATTCCCTGCACAAGAACGGCATCTATCTGAGACATTCTGAGACTATGCATCGAAAAAAGAAACAGTGCTAGATAGTGCTAGGCTAATAGTGCTAGGTCTACCTACCGGTCTACCGGTCCCAGCTTGGGCTATGGCCTATCCCATCTCCCCTTTCACTGCCCCAGTGGCATCACAGCAGTGGAGCCATCCATGATGGTTCGCACCAGGACCCGTGCCGTCAAACCTCGTTTCGTCCACCCATCGCGGTGAGCGGTCAGGCGAACCGGACACGACACGCGGTAAGGTCTACAGCGCCCAGTCGGAAGGTTTTCGGATGAGTCGATGAGTCGACTTTGTGTTAGTGTCTAATGTTTCTACTAGCGACTAGATGCTACTAGTAACAGGTGCATAGCAAATAGCTACTAGTAGCTTCTTGTTATTAGGTTTAATGTCCTTGTTACTAGTAGCGATGCACTTGTCACTAGTAGCCAGGGTTCTGTTTAAAGGAGGCAAGGCTGCTGTGCGCAAAACTGCAACAAATGTCTGTTGCACGACTCAACATAGCAAGGGCCACGTTTGAAAGGAATTGCTGATGCCAAATGATGTGCAGCCGGTTCACCAGCTAACTGCTTGAGGCCAGCGACTACTAGCATGCAAAAACTGCGAGGCTGAAGGCACACCATTTTTAGGTGTCGGGAAAGGACCGTTTGGTCGATCAATCCCGGGCTGGGTCGTTATGATTCTCAAGCTCGCCACTTCTCACAGCAAGCGACCAATGGACCATCGGAAGCCCTCAATCATCATGTGTTCCGGCATCTCTTTCTCCTTGGATGTCGAAAACATCATTCAACCCTGCACGGGGTTCGAAGTCCACTCGTCCAAGGTCTTGTGAAGGCGGGCAATGCCCAATGACCCAGTCGTTTGCTGAACTTCGTCTGCTGAACTATCCAGTCTGAGCGCCCAGCGAAAACATGTTACGTGCATGCTGCCAGTTTCAATGCCAGAGTTGATCATTGGATATTGTCAAACCATGTCAATTGAGCCTTCAAAGAACGCCAACACCTCATGCATTCTGAAGACAGCTCCCTCCGATCAACAAGTGGACTCACAAATATCATACAAAAATATCTTTCCCACCCAGCATTCGTAAAACAAATAAACACCAAAAACACACCACAAATGATGATGAGATGTTTTGGGGAGTTCAAAGCTGCAGCCATGTGTCCTGAATCTGGTGTGCCTTGTCCTTGGGGCACCACATCATTTTGGTGCTTTCCTCGGGCGAAGTAGGCGGATCCGCACTACCCGGCCTCTTTGTTTCATGGCTGCCCAAGTTGTTGTTAAACACCATCCAGCCGCCTAATTAGTCAGGTTTCCTCTGAGAGGCTACTGACTAGATGCATTTCTTTGAGCAAAGATGCTTCATAGTATGCTTCATAGAGAATGGTAGAACGCCCATATGTTGGGCTGGTGTTCTCCCGAGCGCAATTAGGGCACAGGGTGGTCTCCCGTGGAGTCGTCTGACATATTGCGACCGAAGGACGTACGTACATTGTTGAATGCATCACGTTCCGCACATGTTTCAAGACCTTTCTTTCTTTTTGGGCATGGCGCTTCTTTTATATACATGTCCTTCCTTCTTTTGCAGATTCCACATCTTTTCTTTAGACGTTTTTCTCTCTTTCTTATTTTTCCCAAAAGCATCTCCGATGCTTGGGTTCTCGCTTAGTCGCTAGTGCCGCGGAAGAGCGGGACAAAGCGTGCGTTGTCGGGGACGGAAGATGGATGTGGAGGTGGACGGGGCTGGGAAGGGAAGAGGGAGGGGAAGGGCTGGGGGGGGAAGATGGAAGGGAGCGAGACGGGAGGCGCATGGGTGGGCAGCTTCAAGTGCCTGCTGGAAAGATGGTGATGATGGAGTCGGGCTTGAGCGGTGATAGACGGCAATCTTTGGGGGTCCAGAGGGCTCCTGAAGATAAAAGGCGAGAAGGAGGCAGGAACGAGGAGAAGAGAGAGAGAGAGAGGGAGAGCCTCTTTGACCTGGGGGGCTCTTTAGGATAGACGGCGAAGAGAGAAAAGGAGTTTGGCGCCGAGAAGATAGACGGAGATACAAGATCACCCGTTGCCCGAGATGGGCGTTGTCTGGGCCAGCCACGCGAAGAGGCAAGACAAACAAGATAGAAGGCAGATAGAGGCGAAGAGACAGAAGATAAAAAGGAGAGGAGGGCGCAGACTCATGGAGACCAACCCCGAGCAGGTCCTCGCAACGCGGAAGTCGAAGAGACAGAGAGCCAGTGACGAGGAGAGGCGCGGGGGATCCGGAATAAAACAGAAGACATGTGTCGAGAGTGTTGGTACTTTCTCCCAATTACATAGCACATAGAGAGCGGGGAGTGTAGGCCTCGCTACTAGCTAAAGTGGGGGAAAGAGTAGCAAGGCCATGCATCAAACCCTCCTTGTGTTGACAAGGGGGGGAGCTTGGGCACTAGTGGCCTTGTCCAACTGTGAGCCGTCATCGGTTCGCAGTCGTCTCACGTCGCAGGAACTTCAACTTGCGCAACCCCGTCGAAAAGAACAGGCTGCAACGATATTTCTATCTAGGGTCTATGCCGGTGTAAAGACAAAAGATCGAAGCCCGCAAAGGTGTAGTTCAAGAAAAGCAAACGACAAATCCTCTCCTCCTGGGATATCTGCGCCATATCGACGCCCCGATCATGCCAAGGATGCACACCATCGGAAATCTAGGCCAAAAAATTAAGCAGAAATATCGTGGCTGCCACGCTGGAGGGGGCTAGTGCTTCGTTTTGGCCTGCTAATGTGTGTTTGTTCTTTTTTCCTGGGTTGCGCGCTTCTTTTTGCTTTTGGGTCCGCGGGCTCACCTTGTGTTGAGACATTGTTTTTCCTGTCTTGTAGCGTAGGCCTTCTTTCCTTTTCTCTTTAAACTTTAGACCTTTCGTCTTTTTTTTTGTTAGACCGTTAGACCTTTGATGACCTTTCTTCCTTTGTCTTATTGTTTTAAACGTCTTTTCCGTCCTGCGACCGAAGAAGCATTTTCGTTGGGGAACTCTTGGACCATTGGATGCATCACGTTCACGCACACGTCCACGAAGGGCCCGAACAACTCGATGGGGATGCCATAGCCTCCCACACGACAGAGCGAAGCGAGCGAAGCCGAACATGTTGACGTGGCTATTTATTGGCGAGGTTGTACTCCAGTAGGGGGGTTCAATCGGGAGGGTGTGGGATTTGCCCAAAGTTGCCACAGTTAATATATATCCCAAAACTGCTGACAAAGGAAGCGACCAACTCGTCGAATAACAGAAAACCATCTACAGGCATCTGCTTGCTTTTGGAGTACATGTCTTCATGGGTTACGCGCATGTGTTCTCCCCAGCTTCTTTAACCCAACAGGGCTTCCAAATCGGATTTGGTTTACATGGCTTGTCCCAAAATTGGCGAAAGAATTGAGAATCAGTGTGAAGCCTGGGAAATGTTGGACTCCAACTTTGCAAAGTGGTCCACCTCAGTCTGAGTATTTCGGGCCCTTTCCTGCGCAAGGAATAGCACCACCAGACTTCATGACCGTAATCGGGTTCATTCGTGGACTTCCAAGCGGCTCCGGACCGCCGACCGCACGTCCCGATCGGGTCCGGCACAACTCGCGTCGGACAGCGCCGCCGCTGTCCGACGAGCGAGCGCGGCCTACGTGGCGCAAACCCAACGCCGAAAGGTCATCGAGCGTCTCCTTGGGTCCAACTCTGCAGTCGAGCGTTGCACCGGTGCAGGAAGAGACTGGTAGAAGACTCAATCAGCGTCCGGGAAAAACAACATGTGGTGGTCGGAGAACACGCATTGTGGTCTGTTCCATTCTTTTCTTCTATATAGGCACCTTTGAATACCTTCTATTTGATCTATAGGTGGCCTAGAAGCGAACCAAACACATCAGCAACGACGTAAGCAGTAACCGTCACGGAACTCCTGAAACCCCACACCCATCTCCACTCTCCCTCACCCCAACACCAGCCATCCACAGTCCAACTGAGTTCAACTGCCCCACTAAGTCGCATCTTTGTTCTTGTGGAACATGTCGTAGGAGCTCTGCAGCACGCGATCGGCGATGTAGCGCAGCCGACTCTGCGACCTCGCGTTGCCGGTGGAAAGCGCTCGCTGAAGGTGGTTTGAACTCATCGAAGCATCTGGAGAATGGAAAAAACATAGAACACATAAATGCGGTTTGTGGGGAGACTATGGGGAAACTACCAGCCCTCCTCTGCACCGTTGGTCAAGTTACTTTGATGGTCTACCCTGTATTGGCTGTTGCTACAACATGAAGAACTGATGCGAGATTCAATGGAGCATGTCGGGCATGTCGTCTCAAGAAAAGGCTTTGGAACGATGAAATCAACACGGAGTTGAATCAACGTACTGACTCAAGTCAATGATGATCTATGTGCCAGATCACGGGGTCCATGGTGGATCCGGTGATCTCGAGGAAATCTACTCAGTCAACTCCCAAGAGACCCTGCTCTGAACTCTGAACTCCAAGATTTCGAAACCCCGGCAACCAATTGATCTGCATCAATGCATCAAGATCTGACAGCTCCCTTCACCGAAACATGTGATCCATCAAACCAGAATCCTCTAGCAGACTGTGGCCCCTCCCTGGTTCAACGTTTATCCATCATCAACACTTCCATCACACTAAGCGGCTGTTTGAAGAGATCTTGTGAGGCTTGGCTCCTGGCGAAGAACTCCGTGAAGATGTCCGCCCGAAACCGGTCCAATTGCCTGAGAGGCAGGCATGTTGTCGGCATGTGTGGCGAGGCCGGCCCGGTCCGTGAGGGACGAAGAAAGCAAACAAATCAAACGCATCTGTGGACTGGGCAGCAAGCAGGATGTTTCCTTGGTTTCTTCCAAAATAACATGTTGGCCGCAAGCATCTTGACCAGTCTTTCTATTGCTCCTCCATCTCCCCAGAGCCGTGAATGGTAAAGGGATCAACTCCAACAATCCGTTTAGCCTGGGTGTGGCAATCCAAAGGTTCAACAAATATTCAGAAAAAAATCAAGAGGTGGGGACCTTGACATGAGGTGTCACTTTCTGAGATCCAGGATCTGGGGAGGTGCTCTGATTCAGAATCATCATCCACCTGAAGCAAAGAGGCCATTCTCGCTGAGAAAGGCCACGCCTTCAAACCCGCTCAGGCGGAACAAATTCAATCCCCACAAAGTCCTGCTGCAGCTCTGAGGGCTATCGTTAACCATATTGAGTCACTACTGAGTTCCATGTGTTGAAACAACGGTTCATGAATGTTTCAACAAACACATTGAATTGTCAATGATGGCGTGCCCATGTAGTTGTCCTTTTCATGTCCATCCTGACAAGGGGTGACGATACCTCGCTTCTGCCCAATCGACTTGTTTGTTTGTGCTCTGCAACTCCCAACGCCTGGATTTCTCCCGTAACTGGCCGCGCCCTCTCCCAGGTGTTCCAACAAACAATGAAGAGGTGCTCCTCCCGCAATTGGGAAAACATCTTGGCATTGTAGGGCTTAAAGGCACGGACCTGGCGCAGCCAGGTGGTTGGACCATCGGATGGCGGGATTCGGATGGCCCCCAGGTGGAGATGAGAGGCGCAGGTGGGACTGGAGAAACGAACAACCTGGTTACCTGGTTCCGATGCTGTTGCTCAAGCTTGGAATCTGATTGCCTGAACTGTATGTGTTCGGCATACAGGTGACGGACTCCCTTTATCTTCTTTTCAACCACCTGACCTAACAGCACATCCCACAGTCTTCGGGTAGGCTTCTCTGAAATGGGCCTGTTGGATCTCACTCATCTGTATCTGGGATCCCTCCATGGGGAATGTCCATTTCCAGTCGTTCTTGAGGAAACGGTACGAGCACACGGCAGAAATGCCACTCACAGTGATTCAGCCACTCAAAAACGCTCTAAATCAGCAATGCTCAAGACCCGTCCAGATCTGCAAGCAATCAAAAAAACATCTTGCCTTCATGGTGGACTCATTCAAGTTGCGGGCCACCGTCATCCAGAGCCACTCCCAGGCATTTTCGTGCAAAGTGCTCCACTGCTTGGGAAGCCTCACTGCAAGCGAACATCACCTAGCACTCAGACAAATCACTCCAGACCCGCTCGGGTGCCGATCGCTCCAACGCTCCCTTCGGCGGTACCATCGCTGTGCCCAAGGGACAAGGATCGCAAGGCCGCCAACATCACCGGCTTGAACTTCTCAAAGTCGATCGACTGATTTCGGAGCAAACCAAGCCAGAACAGAGCTGCCGAAGTCCTACTTCTTGGTGGTCTATAAAGCATCTCTTTGAAACGAAAAAGCATGTTGATGGGGACAAAGACCTATTTGATCCTATTTGACTACCTACTATGTGTTATTTGTGCTACTTAATTTTCTGTTTTGGTTTGTCTAATTTTTCAAGGGAACCGCAATTCGGGGAGGCAAAGCAAGCAAAATGACCAAACAACTATATAATGAACAACAAAAAACTTGTGTTATTGTTTTCTATTTTTGGAAAAGTCTTCAACTGGCAATTCGGGGAGGCACCGCAATGGGGGCCAGCCAACGACAAAGCAAGAAAGTTCGTCAACAACTGACCGGTGTCCAAGGCGCGGTCGACTTGGTGATCAAGTTGATCGCCAGTAAGTCACACTCCTCAAAACATCTCGGGTAGGTTGGGGGCCATTGCTAGTTGGTGGAGGCCATCGCTCTCAGGTTGGAGGCCATTAGGTTCAAACTGCCCAAGGCCGGTCGAACACGTATCTTGGTGCCCCCTGAATTGGATCATCGTGGATCTCAACAGTGAAATGACTTCCATCTACAGCACTTTCCGGCACACTCATATTGCGAACCATAAAGTCACAAAGGACTTGAAAGAATAATCTCTTCTAGCGTGTGCAGCATTTCCAAGGGAAATGACGAAAGACTCTTGACGCTCTTCTCCTCTTGCAAGTGGACAGGGCTGGAGATCATCTCCACCAAAATCTGAGCAAATCGACAGAAGAACACGGGGCATGCGGTTAAGTTAGGAACTCTTACTCCACTGGCTTGTCACTTCCTGATCATGTCCAACTGAAATGCCCTGGCAAGGGCTCGAATAGAACACTTATCGTGCAACCATTCAGCCTTCAAGTGGTCTTAAAATGATCAGGTTAGTCCTGGGGCCCTGGCTTGCATGTGGCCCCACAAGTATACCAACAACGTGACACAAGTAGGACTCATCACCTGGAATCTAGAAACCTCTGCTGTTGGAGTTATCGGAGCCCTTTTCTTGGCAAACAACGGGTAGCAAATCCTTGCTGTCACCCACCCAGTCTTCGTGAGAGCCAATCCAAAAATACATTTCTATATAGCATATATAGCATCTATCCAGCCATATACATGTATATACTCAATTATAAGCAATTATATAATATTATATACATAGTAAGAATATCTATATGAGTGGAAAGCCTGTTAAATGTATAGTGTACTGGATGTTTTGGAAATTGTTTATGTTAGAATGTAGGACTCCATTCCAACTCCATGGCTTCTTTCCGAGTGAGAATGGAGGCCACGCATGCGTCACCATATGACTTGTTCCAACCCTCCATTTTATGGTACCCTGCGCTCAAGAAAGGCGCCCACCCACTTGCAGCCATGGAACATCAAACACTTGTAGAAGCTCCAGCATCCAGCCTGGTGGAAACCATTGATTCTGAACAAACACTTTACCTCGCGATGGCATTATGGCAGAACCACTCACTGCGTTTGTCTTCCTCATAGCTTTGGCACAACATGCTCACAACAAATGTCCGCAAACTTAGGCAAGAAGAATGTGGCATGGCCTCGAGTTAGTCTGGTGAGGCAAAACTGTGTTCGCCCAAACCTTGATTAAGGTAAAGCCAGTGGGATAACATGAAAACCTCTTCATCCCATCATCGTTTCAATTTCACAGCGCCACGCATCCACATCCAAAGGCTGAACAAAACATGCCTAAAACTCGCACCGTTTTCTGCCCAAGACCACCCCAAGTACGGTCACACCGTTCCGAGGCGGAACACGGGAGACGAGGCGACCGGTCGGCGGCGGCCTTCCGTTTTCTGGCCCATGACTTCGTTACTGAAGGCGCACATGCGGCCGAAGCTGAAGGTCTCAGCCGAATCATCCTTTGTCTCTTCGTCGCCACCTTCGCCGTCCCCCTCGCCCTGGTTCTCGCCCTGGTTGGAGGCCTGGCGTCCCGATTCCGGCTGGAGGGGTGGCCATGAGGCATGAGACGCTTGGTCAGGCGATCTGGCTCCCGAAATGGAACATCCAAGGATCTCCGAGATTCCGAGGACCGAGGTCTGGACATGTCGCATGCTATCTGGACCCTGCCTTCTCACTTTCGTGCTTGGAAGCCTGTTGGACTACGGCCCAATCTTCCTGCAAGCTGAGAACTTGGGAAAATTGCTGAGCAACTGGTGCTTCGGTGACCCTGATCACGTGGGATTTTGGGAACCTCGGGCTATCACTGAAAAAAGCTTATGCTCTGACTGCAAGTCTTGTTATGCAAAGCGTGATGATCCCTTTGAAGTACCAGAGTATACAATAATTATGCCATGGACCTTGCTGAGCTCTAGACTGTCATGATGACCCAGCCTTGATGACTCGCAAACGCTCGCCGTAGCTGTCTCCAACAAACCTGGCAAGGAAGCAGGTGCTATTCCTCCCACAGCTAAGGACTATGAATGCTTCTATTATGGACCGCCCAATGACAGCAAGTGCAAAAACATGACATTGTATTTGTCAATATCTTATCCTCTAGCTGGATGCTTTGGGCATGGCTGCCAGCACAATCCTCATGAAAACTAACACCACTTTGCAGTGGGTAAAAAGCTCCCGAAGATGATGAGATGATCAATTCTCGTTCTAGGCTTTTTTGTCGAACGAGATGTTGGACTCTATTGGAATAAGTCTGCCCAGACATGGGCAATCAAGGGCATGACCTGTGGGGCCCAGGGGGTGGAAGCATGATGTAGCATGAGAAATTAACATAGACATCTATACTACTATCTGAACAAGCCTTGAAAGGGGAACTGCTTTGTGAACGAAACCTCGCAACACCTCAAACATGGTGGCTCTTTGATTTCAAACCTCACTCTTCTGATTCTGATCTCTTCTGGTTCTCTCGCGCTGGAGTGACATTCTCCGACTCTACTGGCGATGGCCTCCAACCTAATAGCGATGGCCTGCAGCCATACCAAAAAGCATCGTTCTTTTGTCCTTCTGCTCCCCCGCCCAGTCCGCCCGAGAAAAAGAAGTTCGTGGACCGCGCCCCAAAAAAGGGCTTCTCTTTGCGTGCAGAAGCTTGGAACGCCCATTGGGTGCCTGTAGCATGAGCCGCAGTAGCCCAAAATGTTTCTCCAGGCTGCGGCCGTCCCAGGGGGCAAGTTCGGCCTCGGTTGCGGAGACCAGGGGTGCGGGTCCTGAGGTTGGAAGGAGTCTTCCGTCCGTGTTCCGAAGATCATGCTATCGCATAAAAAAAGCGTGTGATCTCTATGGCACTATGGATGGACACGCCATGTCTATGCCTCGAGGGTCAGATGAATGCCGGAAATTCCCGCCAAATCGTTCTCAATGATGGACAGTGCCTTTCCATTCTATGGGAGGTGCTGCCTTTCCATTCTATGGGAGGTGCTGCCGCACAACCCACAGAATGGAAAAAAAAACAGGGAGCGACAGCCTGTGGGACTAGGACCAGGATCACCAAGGGGTGATTGGATTGTACAACTCGATCAACAACACCTTTGTAGCCCTTCCTGTGTCTCTCTTTGTTGCTTCTTCGCCCTTGGCCCTTGTTCTTCGCCCTTGTTTCTAGCTTTTTTTTCCCTTGATATGTCTCCTCCACTCTTCCTTTGGCTCCTCCAAAAATTCGTCGCAGGAAGCGGACCACTCTGGCCCATCGGATCGCCGGGAGACGATCGATCCCGAAACCAAGTGGAAACCAACATAGGGAGGCTCGGAATCCGGTGGGCCTTCCAGCAATCAAGTAGGCAAACAACGAAGACACACAAAACATCATCATGCGAAGCAAGTTCAGAATCAGAAATCTGGACCCAATGACACGAGCGGAAAGGGGGGTCAAGGCATCTTGCACCATTCGAAGGTAGCCAGGTCGCACGTTGATGGTCATGAGCTCCATATAGGCGGAGATCACCGCGTCCACGCGCTGCTCGGTGATCTCGCTGTTCAAATGTCTGGGCGGCTTCAAGGACTGGAGAAAATGTCAGATTAAACTAAACTAATAGCTTCTTGTTACTACTAGTAAGGCACCTGTTACTACTAGC